ACGTGATTGTCCTGGTAAACTGGGCTGCCCTCAGATCCCCTGCTAAAAGATTAACTTTGAGTGGGTTAAATTCGGAAATCCACCACTAATAAGGGGATGGCTGGGAGCCACCAGGAAAATACATGGAATAGAACCAACCTGAACAAGTAGAACCCATCTGCTTCTCTCCAAACTAGCCTATGAAAAAGACACCTGCTGCGGACAAATTCCAGTTCGCGCCACCGTTCAGCAACCATCATTGAAGCCATCGTGGATTTTTAAGGGGGCTCGAATCTTTCCAGTAAGACACAATGGTTGAGCCACTATTGGCATCAAATCCTTCCAGTAAGACACCATGGATAAAACCATTATTGGCATCGAATCCTTCCAGAAAAACAAGACAGCATGCTTGAAACCATTGTCGGTACTTGTACTTACCCAGCGCCATCGAATCCTTCCAGGATTTCCGGTCGCCTAAAGATTTCGCTTTCCACTTCCGCCGAAATTTCGTCGACGCTTTCGGCTTTCGGATTGCGGCCTTCCACCGAAAAGCCGTGCGGGCGGGCGGCAATCTCGCCAGCTTGAGCGCAGTGAGCCTCAAGCCTCGGGAGCCGCGGCCATCGAAGGTGGCTTGGAGTGGTGAAGGAACCGTCGCAAAGCTCTTCTGGTGTTTTACTTGTGCTTTATCAGGTTCCCCCTAATTTGCGGTTTGGAGCTGAATCGGTGTGTTTTAGGCGGTTTATCGGGTTCCCCCCCCCCCCCCCCCCCAATTTTTGCGGTTTGAAGCTTTTTTTCGTTGGTTTTGTGGTTTTTTGGGGCATAGGCTTTCCCATTCAGCCTCTACAAGAACCAGGGGTGCAAATCCCCAACCAATCTAAACCACCAACTAAAGTAGCCTCAAATACAGACACAGCCATTTGGGTACTGTATGTTTGCTTTTTTCAATTGGGGAATTAGTTTGGCAATTGTTGAGGTTGATCAACATTTCCGATATACATGGGAGGACCATTGGTGGGGAAACCACTATCGAAGTCACACCCTAAGTGGTAGGTGAAAGGGAAGCCATCCCAGTTAACTCCCAAAAAATTGCACAAGAATGGCTCCTTGTCCTGGGGTGACCATTGGAAACCACGAAAAACATATATATATATATATATATTTCAACGACGGAAAAGTTGATAGCCCTGGTCAACACCGGGGACCAGGTAATGACTCCTTCTCATGGGGTGACCATTGGAAACCACGAAAAGAATGATATTTCAACAGTAGGAAAAGTTGATAGCCCTGGGGCGACCATTGGAAACCACGAAAAGCAAATATTTCAACCACGGAAAAGTTGATAGCCCTGATCAACACCGGGGACCAGGTAATGACTCCTTGTCATGGGGTGACCATTGGAAACCACAAAAAAAAAGAAAGAGAGGATATTTCAACAGTAGGAAAAGTTGATAGCCCTGGGGTGACCATTCAAAACCAAGGAAAAACACATATTTCAACCACGGAAAAGTTCATAGCCCTGGTCAACACCGGGGACCAGGTAATGACTCCTTGTCATGGGGTGACCATTGGAAACCACAAAAAAAAGAGAAAGAGAGGATATTTCAACAGTAGGACAAGTTGATAGCCCTGGGGTGACCATTGGAAACCACGGAAAAAAGAAGATATTTCAACATAGGAAAGGTTGACAGCCCTGGTCAACACCGGGGACCAGGTAATGACTCCTTCTCATGGGGTGACCATTGGAATCCACGAAAACAATGATATTTCAATGACGGAAAAACCATGAGAACAAAAACAGATATGTCAACCACGGAAAAGTTGATAGCCCTGGTCAACACCGGGGACCAGGTAATGACTCCTTGTCATGGGGTGACCATTGGAAACCACGAAAAAAAGAGAGAGGATATTTCAACAGTAGGACAAGTTGATAGACCTGGGGTGACCATTGGAAACCACGGAAAAAAGAATATATTTTAACAAAGGAAAAGTGATGGTCAAAACCGAACCCCTTTGATCCAGAGAGCTGCTCGTCCGTGGTGCCGAAGTCAAAACCGCGCACGAAGACCCGGGTGCCATCAGCTCGCCCGGACTTCCTGGCGTAGGTGAGAACCCTGGTAATAACTCGGGTAGCTGGAAATGGCCCCCCTAAAACAAACACTTGGTTATAGCTTACTCAGTTGATTGAACATCCTTTTATTGCCTCTTGCATTGGCTCAAAATGGGTGTGGGTTCAAAAATTGAATCAGGACATGGACCGCAGGTTTTCCATTGACCGGGGCAACCTTTCTGAGTACATCTTTGACCCAGGCCCAATGCCACAAAGCCCGTGCCAGGGCATCTGGCAGGCACCTGCGACCTGCCTTAGCCTAGCCGAGAATTCTTGCCATCTTTATCTGCAACCTGGCCGCGGATCATCATCAATCTTCACTTCCTCGCGGCGAGCAGACAACGGACGGGCAAGAAGCTGGCACTCGCCCTCGCCCTCGAGTTATCCAAGCTTCGACTTGCTCCTTTACCCAGCCTTTGTCTTGCCAAAGCAACTGAAAAGACTAGGTCCTCCAGTAGAGAGCTTAGAATAAGGGTACCCTTTTTTCTGCAGTCTATTTTAGTAGGGGAACCCTCACTCCCCCAAAAAAGGGTAAACATGGCACTACTGGGGGACCTAGAGCTATTGATGTTTTACACAGGGGTTCGCTAAGGCCTTCAACAAAATTGAAGTAGCCACTTGGCGCTTCAGGGAAGTTTGGACCTCTCAGGCTGTCTGATGATGTTTCGCATGGTCAAAGCAGCCCTTGCGACCAATTTGACTCACTTCCGATCAAGTTGATGGCACAAAGCAAGTGCCGGAACTTTTTCATATTTACCCCTGCAAGCGCAACCCAAACCCCAAAAGCTCGTGTTGCTGTTGTGCTGCTTCGCCCGAGACATGGGAAAATAAGGGGCACCACTGGGGGTCCCACAGAACCCCACAAACACAAGTGACTGAAGTCCGAACTGGGAGGTGAGTTCTCGGTTGCTTTCTGCTCCGCCAAAGTTGGCTTTGAACTATCGGTGGTTTACTGCGGAAAACCAATTCATTAATCCCTTCCCCCTACTAATAAACGACCCCCCTCAAAAAAAAAAAAAAACAAAAAACAAACTCTTATTCATAGGGGGAACGGATTAGTGGGCAAAAATTGTTCTTCAGTCCTAAGATCCCTGGGCCAAACGCACCTTCGAGTGAAGGGCCAAGGCGCTACATACCGCGTGTTCCCTGTAATGGTGGTGCGGTTCAGCTCCGTGGCTGCCCTTTGCGCCACCTCTGGGCTGGCATATGTAACCACCGCGGCACCTGGGGTTCGGGCGGAAAGCCCGAAGGAAAAAAGAAGAGCATTGGGGGTGGGGTCTGCTGATTATTATTTTATTTTATTATTTATTTATTTTTTTTTTGGGGGGAGGGCGGGGTGAATTTGCATGTCTTCACGCGATCTAGACATATTTTGTCCATCCACTCATAGAACCAGGACCGGACTGCACTTGCAAGGTTTGCAATTTGCGGTCAGTTTCGCAATTTTCAGCTCCTTCCAGGCTTTGCAGCCACCATAGACGACCATAGCAAGCAGCAACTCGGCGCGACTCAGCGCCCGGCCCTTGCCCCACATCTCGAGGGAAGTCACTGGGCCGACCTGGGGGGGCTTGCTGAAAAAGATGAGCCGAGACAGAAATCACGGGAAATCACGGGAAATGTCCCCTTCAAAGGCTGCAATTTCTCTGGTGACGTCCATTGAAACCATCGCCACTTTTCGAGAACCCTCCTTTAAGGGGAAATTGAGGAAGCCCTGCAAGAACCTCTGAACTAACATGGGCTCGAGCGCCTAGCCGCGCAGCCTGCAAGAGTGACCAGCTGAAACGAGGCAAGTTCGACCATCTGCATGTGTTTCTTCATCAAACTCAGCGGCTTTGCCGGAACCCTTCGCCACGCTTGGGAAACAAAAAGGATCAAATCAAAGGGTTGGGTTACAGAAACACGTAGAGGACATGGCCCCAAAACATCCTAAATAAGCTGCTTTCCTGTAGAATCTCCTGTAGTCCAACCCTTTGAACAAAGCGCTGGCCAAGAACTGTGAAGCATTGAGCACCCACAGCTCAGCGCAAACGTGTCATCTCAAGCCCACTGCCACAAGAGTAAAATCCCAAAACGATGCGGCTCTGGCACGGCCGGCCTGCTCGAAATGTGCCTTGATGGTGTCTTCGGGCGTCCCGTAGTTGAAGCCGCGCACGAAAACCCGCTCCGACATGGCCTCAAATGAACGCCGCCGCAAGCGCCAAAAATGTCCGGCGACGTTTAGCACCTCCCGACCTGGCATTCAAAAGAAAACTGGTCCAAACCACCCCCCCCCCCCCGCACGTCAGGTGAGATGTGAAAAGGGTGGGAGGCTATGGCACCTGACTCCAACCCGCCTGAAACGCGCGTCTACTTTGGGCATCATGCCGCTGGAAGCCTTTCAATGCCGAGGCGCTAAGTCTAAAAATATTTCGTGGCACCGCACCCTAACGCGGCGGACTCGAGCCCGACTGTCTGCAAAGGCTTCACGAACTCCAGTTGAACTTGATGTTGACTGTTTCATACAATCTTGGCTGCCGTTTATCCCCCAGCAAAAAGTTCAGTAGATCCCCCAGCACAAAGTTAGACTGTTTGCTGGTTAAAAGGAACTGTGAGGGGAATCCAACAAGTTAGAGTCTACAGATCCAACCCAATAGCAGTAGAGGAATCGCGAAAGTCAGAAGCTGATTCTCCCCTTTTTATTCGCCACTTGGGCGGGGTTCCTTGAAATTGGTCCATCGGCTTCCCTCCGATGGTTTGGGAGCTGGGTGAGGCATGAATGGCTTCCCATGGCTCAAGAACCGGTCCAAATCCAAATCCCGACCGATCCAAAGCACCGATTCGAATTGCTCGGCCCCGCAAAGCGCCGAGGGCCGCCGCGTTTCGACGCCAACACCCTAAGGGCCGACGCAAGAAACGCGACAAAAGCAGGCCCGACCTGGGCATGGCGCGCTAGCATGTTGAGAGCAAACCAAAGTTGTGGTTGGCAAGGCCGCAGGGTGGTCCTGGCAAGACTGTGTCAATACGCGGTGGTTCAGGAAAGGCGCGAAGCTGCCGTGAGCTCCCCTGAATACTGAGATGAGACATAGCATGCTGGAGCCAAGAAGGCCAAGCAAGCTGGCTGTCACTGCAGCATGCAACGAAGTCAAGCAAACACATTGGGAACACTGCCCAACCCTCAGGCATGGCATTGTGCGCAGTCCATGTAGCATGATTCCACTTGTGCTGATGAGATCTTGTTGGCCTTTGCTGCCGATATGGCCAAGGGCTCTGCCCGCATTGCCTTACTTTCAATTCAAAAGCGGCGAGGTTTACGAAGTCTACTGCTTCAACATGATTTGAGATTCCAATCACATGCGATTGTTCCAAGCGGGTTTTCGTTTTAAGGGGGCCGTCTTAAGTCTGACAACCGCTACATGAAAGAGTCTGACGACAGAGCTTCTTTCGACCGCCGCTTCATTCAATGACCAGCATCTCAAGATGACTCCTCCCATAAAACACCAATCAACCAGGTGAAAAGCGAAACCTGTGCAGGCCAGTTCGCCAGTTTCACGGAGATATTGTGTTTTGTCCTTAATATAACCATCTGCCACTCCTGTGCTCATCTGGCCTGTGGGAAGATGTCAAGACGAGCGCTGCAAATGATTCTTGGCTGTCCTTGACCAACCGGCGTGAAAGCAGCTGGCTGGTTGAGAGAGATACCTTGCCGCAAGAGGCGTAGAGCCACAGGACGTGACAGGAGTCCACTTGTAGCCTCTGGCTGAGCGTCGCACTTTTTCTCGAGTGCTCGTGTTGAAAGTTATGACCGGTCTGGATGCAACCACATGCCAGCTGAAAAGCCCCATCCTGTGCAAGGCTGCCAATTCAAAAGCCAGATGGCGTGAAGCGCCTCTCTGGTAGAAACGCTGGTCCGGGGCCAAGAGCACAAAATGGCCTTCCAACAGGAAAGTAGTCTTGCTACGGGTGTCTGCGCACCAGCCCATGTTAGTGGGAGGGAGGCTATCCGGCAGCCATTTCAAAAGCAAATGTAAACCAGTCTTTGCCCACTGGACCCGTGGCATGGAGCCCTGCACGTGACCTTGTGCACATGCCTGGCAATGCAAGCGCTTTCCAAAAGCGCTGGAGTTCTCGCTCTGGAGGACTCCTTCACAGAAAAAAACATGAAGCTGGGTGCCTTTTGGCCGGGCCAGCTGAAGAATGACGCGCTGGTGCTGCGAATGTCAGGCGCGCATCTCAGCAAGGTCATGCTGAATTATCTGAGCAATGCTTTGTGGTGGTTCATGTTGTTTGGGTTTTTATTGCATTTGGCTACCCGAGTCAGCTGTAATGCTTTGTGGTTGCTTTGTTGGTGGTTCGTGTTGTTTATTGGGTTCAATTGGATCGCGCTACCCGAGTCAGCTGTACCCTTCGACGAGGGTACTTCTTGCCCTGACGGCCTATTGTGAGGCTGGTTACGTGAGCCTCAATCCCGGGAACAACAGGCAAGAGAGGAGGCAGCATCACATCGAACCTCAGTATCTACTTCTTGGACATCGGCTCCGAGCCATCCCATTCCGCTGGAGGCGGCTCCTTGAGGTACTTGTCCTCGGCGCAGATAGGTTCTCCAGTAGAGATCGAGGTTAGAATAAGGGCACCCGAGTTTTTGTTGTCTTTTTTGCTGTGGTCTATTTTAGTAGGGGAACCGCACTACTGGGGGACCTAGGATATGGGTCTTCCCCAAAAAAACGAATCGGTGGGATGCGGAGCCGGGGCCGAATCGGTGGGATGGGGAGGTGGGATAGGGAGGCCGCCTGTTTGTGAAATATGACGGGGTTCCTTGACAAATCGTGTATCAATGAAATCGAAACCAGTGCCATCTATTTAACCAAACTCAAAAGGACGGACACCTATGGGTGGGATGGCTTCCCGCTTGCCCTCAAGAAACAGGGGTTCAAATCCCCCAAACCAATCCAAAGCACCTGAGCAAAGAACCGTTTCAAGTCCCCAAGCTCCAAACCAACAGCTGGGCATTCAGATTTCACGCCGTGGACGGAAGGTGGAAGCCCCCAAAAGCACACTGCACCCGCAGAAAAACAACAGACCCTCAGCCTTCCGGTGGCATGGAAACACAAACAAATATTAAACAACCTCCTGATGGCATGGACACACAAAACAAACATGCAGCCCCGTCGGCCCGTTCGGTGGCATGGAAAGACCAACGAAGATCCATGCAGCCCAGTTTCGCACAAGTGTAGCAGGTGCTGGGACGGGATGTCTACGCTGCCCAAGCGGCCACGCAGGCTGCGACATACCTCACTGAATCCCAGCCTTTGGAGGGAAGCCGGCCATTTGGGCCGTCTCTCTTTTTGAAGGTGCCCTTGCTTTTGTTGGGTTTCAAAGAAAAACCTACATAAAAGCAACTATCTATACATAAATAAGTAAATGAATAAATATATACACATATATCCACATATATCCACATACTTTACTTTTGGGATGGTCCCTCACAAGCACACACACACACACCACACACACACACACACACACAATCTGAGGGCTTTTCCCCATGAGGCCAACGAGCCCCATGGGCTTTCCCCGCCTCCGCCAGCAGCGGCCGCGCCTCCCCAAAGCGCCGGGCCAAGAAGAGCTCAAAGGCGCGCCTGCCGACTCAACCGACGACCGACGGCTCGCAAGGAGGACGGCGCTTTTTTGGGGACGCCTTGGGGACATGGGAGGATGCCGTCACTTGAAAAGTGGGGGGGAGAACATAGGAATGGGGTGGGGTGGGGTGGGTGGAGTGGGGTGTGCTCATCAGAAAAACAAGTGCGGCTCACCGACTCCTCAAGTTGACAATCCGCCATTGGCCTGCAGTATCATTGATTTACAGTTGGGATATCTTGGCTGCTGCAACGACTCCTATGCAAAAAGGTGTTTAACTTTTTGTGGGTCCGATTCGGGTTAAATTAAAGCCTCGAAAGATCCAAACAAATGGCCAAACAGTTGCCATACAGTGCCATAAAATGTTGGAGGTTTGGGACATGGGAAAAGGCAGTCATTGCTGGGGGGGGGGGGTGTGCTACTCAAGCATTCCCAGCAATGAAACGCAACAAGCCTCAACCAATGCGCCAAGTTAAACCAATTAGCAAGCTCTCAAAATACAAGGTGTGATTGGAACTTGATTAATGTGAACCCCGGATTCATACACCCATCCTATGAAAATAGGGTGTTCCCCTCCAAAATTGATGATTCCCCGTTCAACCGAGGACACCCCTTTAACGGGGACACCCCCCTATTACTAAACTGGAGTTGATTACTGCCGGGTCAAGATCAATAAATCCTCATCCCACTTGCGTGCAGCGAGCGGGTGACCGATTGTCTCAGCCACGATGCGTTGAACATGCCTTCTGGCTTGCCTGCTGCCGGTCACTTGGGGTTCACGTCCAGGTTCCCCCAATATGAAACAGCCTGACTGTACGAACTTTTGGGACAACTCGTGATGGCTCTGCTTGTGTCAAACTCTCAGGATTCAGCGCGTGAGCCAAAGCCAACCGAGTGACGCTGCGCAGTTCCGCTTTTCAGTGGGGCCTCAAGCCATTCCGAGAGACCTGGATCGTGACCCAGCGACCAACTGAATCATAATCAAAACATGGCAGAAAAATGGCCCCAGAACCACGAAAATAATATCCCAAAGGCGGATATGCGCATCCATTGCTGGCAAGGGGATCTTCCCTTACCCTCCACTTTCCCGAATTCGGCTTCGATTGCTCGTGGCGACCACCAACCCACCTGAACCACCGACTCCTCGCCTATGGGCATCATAGGTCTTTGCTAAGGTTTGTGATGCACTGGAGCGCTTTCCGCGCACCTCCCAAACCTGGCATGGGCAGCTCAAGACCCAAGCTTCACTGCCAGAGGTCTGCCGTTTGGGGGCTCCAAATCTATGCCATGCGATGCATCTGTCCCACCTTTGTCGCGTTCTTCCGGCCCTTCAGGATGATGTTGCCAATCGGCCGGGCCACATAGCTCTTATGTAAGTCATCCGCCTCCCAAGAAGCCAGGGATCCAATCTGAGCATGCTGCGCGTGTCCAAACTGGTTTTGCAACAGGCTAGTGGTTCCCCTGAAACTCTTGCGAAGCCATGCCAAGACCCAAGATCAAACCTGTCAGCATGCTGCTGCAGCGATCCAGTCTGAGCGCCTCATTTCATTTGTGGACAGTTCTTGAGGGAAACCTTTCCAGGTTGGTGTAGAGGGAAACCACAAAGGGAAGATAAAACCTGGAAAGGTTAGATGTTTAACAGCTGCGGTGTTTTAAAGGAAACCTCTCAACCACAGCTGCCCTCGTTTTGAGCGAATCCTTTATGGGGGCCCCAAATCTCTTTTGTTGACACGCGCCCGTGTCAGGAAAAGAAGCCTCCTCCAAGCTCTCATCGGACACCAGACAGCTGGTGCCAAAATGGGAGTTCGCGCTCTTCAGGCGCGCGGACACGTTCACCGGGTCGCCAAGGACACCAAACCTAACCCCAGCGACGAACATGAAGCTGGCTTTACGCCCACGGAGGCCCCTAAAGGCTCTGTTTAGTCCTCACAACTAATTAAACCACCATTCGTCTTCGTGGCCAAGAAAAATATTTGCCAAGAAACTAGGGGTTCATATCTGTGTTTCTACATGCAGCCTTTGACAGGTGAGAATGGCACAAACCTCGTTATGTGGACATGTAATTGCCAGGAATGACTGCACCAAAACGAAAGGCCAGACCAACAGCTGGCACGCCATGCCTTTTCACCAGCCTGCTCTGGACAAGTCCTCACCCACCCCCCAACGTCAGAATGGCAATCTAAGAGGATGGAAAACACATGAGGAGCGGACCAGCTCATTTGCAGCCTCGTGCTTTGGACGTTATCGTTGCAGGGAGACCTTATCGTTTTTACAATTGTTTCAGGGCTTTAACGGATCCGTCTCGAGAATCGCAACAGCAAGTACAGGTCTCAGTACGAGAAGTGCTCCCATGTCAGCTAGAAGATCACAACGACGTACAAGTGCAGTACGAAATTACATCCCGGGTTCAGCTCGAGAATCAGGCATTGGTACAGGTCTGATGCAGTGCAACTCCGCATCTCCAGCTCGAAGATCGCAGCTGGTGGAGTCTTCGTGCGAGTAAAACAAAATGTCAGCTCGAGAATCCTGGCTTTGTGGTACAAGTCTGATGCCGAGTACCTTCCGGGTTCCAGCTCGTCAGGCTTTTGTGAGTACAGATCTAGTCTGTGAAGTACACTCCATGGCTCAAGCTCGAGAATCATGTTTATGTGTCTAGTCTGGTGCTTGGACACCGCCCATCCTCAGCTCCCGAAAATCACTTAACATTGGTACAGGTCTGGTCTTGAAACTTATCTCCAGCTCCCGAAGATCGCAGCACGTGGTGGAGTCTGGTGCAATTACATTCTGTCAGCTCGAGAATCAGCACAGTACAGGTGCGGTCACCACCAGTGCAGCTCACATGGCCTCCAGCTCAAGTGGGTTGTGGTGATCTCAATCTGTGATGCGCTCGGGATTCCAGCTCAGTCAGCGTGAGCCTAGGTCTAGTGCGGGAGTACAGCTACAGCGCTCCAGCTCGTCGCAGCACGTAGCTGGAGTCTCTCAGTACCACAGTACATTTCCATGGCTGCAGCTCGTCGCAACTTTGTAGTCTGGAATCTGTAGTAAGCTCCCGCCTCAGCTCATCGCAACTGTAGCTCGTCATAATCTGAAGTAGCTCCTGGCGCTCAGCTCGAAGATCGGCTTTGTAATTTTGGTCTGTGTAATTTGCTTCCAGAGAACCTCCAGTTGATCACAACAGTTAATTTCGGTCTGTCTGTGATACGGGTCGTCTCCCGCTCGAATCGCAATGTCTAATTGAGTCCACAGTCTGTGAGTACGATTCATGGCATCCAGCTCAGAGTCGGCACGTAGCCTGAGTCTAGTAAGCGAAGTGTGGCACCCGCGGCTCCCGCTCGAGGTCATGGCACATGGTACAAGTCTGGTCACCCAGCGGAGTACGCTCCCGCGTTTCCAGCTCGAGAATGCAACATTAATTGGGTCTTGGTCACAGCGAGTACTGCTTCCGCAGCTCCAGCTCGAGGTCGAGCAGATTTTCCTATGACGGTACATAAAGTAACATTCATGACTCAGCTAGTCATAACTTGAGGTCATGAGGTCACCAATTACCACAGTGCCAGACTCGCTCTGGTAGCTCGGGCTCGCAACTTTTAAGTGTACAGTCTGTGTGAGTGCAGCTCCCGCAAATATTCCGAAGATCGCAACTTTGTCGTACGGTCTCTTAATCTGTGATACATTCGCGATCTCCAATCGAAATGCATAGCACGTGAGCCTAAGGTCTGGTCTGAGTACATTCCATGGCTCAGCCTAGAATCGCAACAGCAACTGGAGTCTGGTCTGAGTGCTTCCACGGCTCCAGCTCGGATGTGGCACGTGGGTACAGGTCTAGTCGCGAAATTACAGCTAGCAATCAGCTGAAGATGTAACTTTGTGGTACAGGTCTGGTCTGTGAGTACACTTCCATGACTCAACAAGGTCGAGCACGTGAGTACAGGTCACCAGTGCGGAGTACATGCCATGGCTGCAGCTGAAAAAGCCTTAACAGTACAAGGTCTTAGTCTGGGAGTACAGCTACTGGTAACCAACAGAAGATCGCAACTTTGTCAGTGGGTCTTGATGCTGGCAATGCAAGCTCCAAAAATGTCTCCGGCTCGGTATAACATGCAGTACAGGTCTGGTCTGTGATGCAGTTCCGCAGCTCAAAGCTCGAAGATCGCAACTGTGTAGTACGTCACAGTAAGCGATACCTTTATGATTTCCAGCTGAGAATCACCAACTTTGTCTTCTAGTGTCATTATTTTCTGGCTTACCTTTGGCAACTCAGCTAAGTGTGACTGCCTTTGGTTTCGTTGACACGCAAGATCTGACTGGCTAAGTTTATGACTTGAGGTGTATAGAGCAGTATTGATAATAAAGATTGCGTTTTTTAGAGGGGAGACCTTATCGTTTTGCATTGTTTTGGCATGTGTTATGCAAAAATGTACCCCGCCTTGATAAAGTGGTCTTCGTGTGTTTTGTCCGTGGCTCACATGTGCACACCAGTCCGGCCAAACCGGGCGAAATAGCAAAACCACACAAATGGCAAAGAATGCACCTGTGCAATGCCCAGAAAGGACATTGCGGGAATCCCCCTGCCGCACCCAAAAAAGAGGATAACATGAGCCCGTGCACGCCTCTTCCAGACCAGCCTTTCGGATGGACAAAATGTGCCAATGTTTTGGAAGGCTGAGAGCAAAGAAAGGAGGGAGTATCACCAAACTGCCAACGGAAGCAGGGCATGTTGCTTTAGGCAGCTCAAAACAACAGTGAACTAGCCAAGGATAAAGCCGATCATGCGGCTAAAAGCCTGAACTCGTCCAGTGCTGACAAAGACAAAAAGCCTCATCCGCGCGGAGCCACCATCCAACAAGCATTCAATCAAGGGTTGGGCAACTGTGGCTTAAACAAGAAGGCGCAGGCCAAAGGGAAACCACAGCGGGTCGAGCAAAGCTTCCGCACTAGAAGCAGCATGTTTTGTCTACGCGTTGCCCTTCCTGAGCAAAGGTCCAAACTGTTGGAGGCGTAGTTGAAAGCTACTTGCCAAACGGTCTAAGCGGCCAAGATCACGACACAAACCATGGAGTTCAAGGCAGGTTCGGCCGTGGCACTTTATCCTGGTCTGCGAGCCAATGTTTCCCACCAGGACCTTTCCGGAGTGCACCCCGCAGCGCATGCGGACCCCGAGCTTGTCCGCGCGCTCCAGGACATCCTGAGACCCGCCCACTTGAACTGAATATGCCCTCCGGACCTGGCAAAAAACATGGGTTCCTCGCGAGGACCATTTGCCACGTAGGGGTACCTTCCCCATTCTTTCCAGGGATCCTTTTTAGGAAACAAAAGAACGATGGTTGAAAAGAATGGGGAGTCAACCCCTAGAATGATGTATGATGTGGTGTGTTTGGGAGGGACCCTTTATCGGGCTTGAAGGAAACACCTTGTATTTTTGGGGTCACCCCATTCTTCACCCGACGCTCACCTATTCCGGTTCAGCCTTGTAACCTGGCAAGTGTCCCACATTAGGATAGGCCCCGAGTTCACCTTACCTTCAAATCATCGAACTACTTTCCAGCAGGGCTGTGGGAAACGACAACTGTGATGGAAAAAAGGCGAACCCCCCATAGGGGGGAGATTCCCTAAAGTATCGCAAAGAAGTGGGGCTAAGCCCCTTGATCTCGCAATCCTGCTTTCCGACCACATGAAGTGCTTGTGCTAGTGCTTTTCGCTAGTGCTAGTGCTACTGTTAGTGCCACTGCTGCTGCTGCTGCTGCTGCAATTCCAGACCCTGCGGCAAACATGCACACACACAAGCACACACATGCCAAAAGACACAAGCAAGCACACAAGCAAGCACACAAGCAAGCCAACCAGCCAGCAAAAACAAACAAAAAAACAAACAAAACACGCGCGACTTGCCGATAAATAAAAAAACAAGCACAACAAGTGTGAACGATACCTCCCGTTTCTAGGGCCTCCCCCACCATCCTTGTAACAGCGCGGGCAATGCAGGGGGAATAGTAGTGCGTTCTCTGGGAGCCACCAGGAGTCAGCTTCAAAGTTACACCAGCCCTTCGGACCGAGGACTTAGCAAAGCATTGCCATGCATTGCCCCAATTTGCAGGCAGTGATGCAATGCTCAGTGGTTGCGCTTGTCATTTGGCAGGTGTGGATACTGTGCTGAGCGGGTGCGCTTGAGCGGGTGCACTTCTCATTTGGCAGGCGCCCATGCAGCGCCCAGCAGGTGCACTTCAGAGCGCGCGCGCTTCTCATAGTAGCAGACGTGTGGCAATTGTTGATTGGTTGGTCGGTCGCTCAAATGGGTTGACCGATGGCTAAACCTGCAGTTCAGATTTTACAGCGTGGCAAAAGATGAGAGGGATTGAAGCGACCGTGCTGCGAAGGCGCTTCAAACCTCCCTTCAACCTTCTATCGGTTGCAGCTTGGGCGCAGTCGCTGATTCCACGGCATGTTCTTCGTGGTCGACAACTTCATTTGGAGCATTGAACACTGCAAGCACCTGCGCGGGATGTTGGCCCGGGTGATAAGGGCGGCAGCATGCAGCATGAAACACATCAAGAAGCAAGACACTGCCGTCAAAGCTGTCACATGCATGGTGGTCCAAATGAGTCATAAGCAACACACCTGGCATCAAGAATTGAGACAACTAAAATGTAAGGTGTCCCTTGGAAATCCCTTTCAAGCCACTTCAAATGAAAAATTGGCAGCGGAACAACACGCATGGCTCAGCCCAACCTTCGTCCCTGGCCTCATCACCCACGAACTCCAAGAGTGTTCCAGCCTGCGCCTCGATGGCATTTGAGACCTCGCGATCGGCGCGATTTGTCCAACCGAGTCAACCAATGTCCATTTCTTGTTTGTATGTCGTAAGAGACACTGTTGCCTGGCGGCTGGCTGGCAAAGTTGATTCGCTGATTTGAATGGAGTCTTGTTCTCCTCAATTCGCGTTCTTGTCCTCAAGAGAAAGGACAATATGCCCGATGATAGATTCCCTGTAAAACAAACAGCGCAGCAAATGGAAGCAGTCTATATCAGTTTGCCTGTCTTGTGCCAAGAGGTTATGCCGTTTGGTTGCACCGGCTTGCTCATCTGGCGATGCTGCCGACCGCGTTGGATTGAACTTTGACTAGCTGGACCTAGGTCAAATATCTACTCTTCAGCTTCCCTCTTGCTATGCCTGGCCGCATGTTTTAACCATTGTCACAGTCGCCCCGAAGCAGAAGTTTCAGGGCAAACACCCTCAGTGGCTGACGCTGGTCACCCCCTGCCGACCAAAAAAAACGCTGACCCCATGTCGAAACTCTGCCCATTCCCATGAGTGACACGTGTCTTCCCCCCAAAACCACCGGAATTCGCGCCACCACACACAAGCGCGACCTCGCGTTCCATCCATTTCCGCCTCCCCATGGACCAAGCTGAGCAGGTTGAGCACTTCCTTCGGGGTGCGGTCCCTGCACATCTCCTTGAAGCCATCGATGTCGCCTGGGCAACGATCGAACCCATCGGTACCAACAGGCCGGGGCCCAGGACCATGCGCCAAGAACCAAGAAGGCGGCGAAGGCACACATTTTTGGTTGGGATTTTCCCGTACCACCCTCCAATTACCCGGGGTTTGAGCAAGCGGCTCACCTGAAATGCTCAGGGGGATTCAATTTTATAGGGGGACTCTCAGTACGTCTGACGGGAAAAGTCGTGGGTGCGCCTTTTCTTAGGACTCAGACCCCCCAAAAAGGTGCTGGTTTTGCATACCAGGACAGGGTTGCCCCTCACAAAACACCCCGCAGAAGCCATCCCGCTTTGGGTGAGAAACCGCAACTGACACTTCAAGCCACAACTGTGCCCAAGTGGCAGAACAGGATGCTCACTTCGTTTTCGTGGAAGCCCACAGTTGCCTGGCGGCTGGCTGCTGGCAAAGTTGTTTTGCGTTGTCCCCAGGAAAAAATAAAAATGTCTCCAGTAGTGATAGGTTCCCGTAAAACCCAACAGGGGAAATATAGGCCGAAAATCTTGGGAAATGGAAGTTTTCAAGGCTGGAGCCAAAAGATGCATTTTGAGGAGGCCACGCACCCGAGCAACATGACGAGAAGTAACATGTCGTCGGTTACATGCCCATGGGCTGGAGTCGGACGACAACGGACGACAATGCTTGCTTTGTCTTTGGCGCTGGTAAGACCCCAATCACCAAGCAAGCCATGGATGGGTGTCTTTTTTGGGGAACCCCCAAAATGGTGTACCCCGTAAAAACAGACACCCGAATCATAAACCAATGAAATCGCTCTCATCCTCTGTCACCCAAAAGTGCCATGTGCTGCAAGCCGCGCGCTGACCTCCAATGGGAAAACTAACATCAGACAACGGTCTCCTTTCGCATGAGCAATTTGTCCAGTCAGTGCACACACGTAAATTGCAAGTTTGACGTTGCCCAATCTGTCTGTCTTTCGGGTTTTTAATATGGCACTGCTGGGGGCCCTGATGAATAGCCTCGGCCCTGTTTACCTGACCAGAAGTGATGTTGCCACTGTCAAACCACAATGGTCCAGGAAGTCTTGCCCCGGCACTTTCCGACCGCCACCAGGTCAGTCCCTGCTGAAAACATGTACAGCACGGCACACCCCCAAGCCCTCTCAAACGCCACGTGCCTCGACGCCGGATCTGTACCTCAGGAGTGTCGAAGTATCGGCTCGTATCTGGCAGCATGTCCAACCATATGCTTCATGCACATGCGCTGAGCCTACACAAATGCAGCAGGAGCATGGAACAGTGGAGTGAGATGGTCCACGGGCTTGCCTTTGCGACCTTCCAACTGTGGCTTTTTGGCGCGCCGGCTCAACCAGCTAGTTCGAGTACCTCCCTCTGCCCGGAGCCTATGTGCTTTTAAGTCCTTCGCCAAGATGCAAGCTTTTCAACAAGTAGGGCGGCACATACTTGGCCCACGAACGGAGTGCCGCCCGCATGGTTGACAGTGAGCCTCGCAGATCCTCGCTGCAGCTGCCGACTCATGACGCTACGCCTGCCACCAGAAACCCAACACGAAAACACCCCAGCTATTCACCGTCTAGTCCCTCCAGTAGAGAGGTTAGAATAAGGGTACCCCTTTTTTTTCTGTAGTCTATTTTAGTAGTTAGGGGACCCTCCCCAAAAAAAGGGGCAAAAGGGCACTACTGGGGGGACCTAGCCGTGGGCAAGGCCAAATCTGAGAAACCAGCAACCTCTCATTTGCACAGGCGTGCATCCAAGATTCCGCCAGCTCCTTGACATCGTCTGACCCCCTCGGGAAGGTGATTGTTGAGCTACAAAGTCACGCAACTGACTGAGCAAAGCGAGGCATTCCATGCAGGGTCCTCAAGCCTCCCGATGCCCAGCGAAACCAACGAGTCCCGTCAAGGCGCTTGGTGTCATCCAACATGTTCTTCACCTTCCGCTTGCCATAGCGCAGCAGCCTGCGCAGAGGGCCCTTCTTCCCGCTCTGCTGCAGGTCCTCAAGGATGCATGCTAAACGGCCTAGCCGAAGGCTTCCAACACGGCAGCCACAGCCGAAATGTCATGCAGACACGGCACCTGTTGCCCCACCAGCTAGGACATGTTTCCGAACTGGCACCCGAGAAGATAGGTCAGGGGAGCCAGGGGCTCCAACAAACAGAAGGGGAAGGCGGGCATGGAAACAACAATGTGACAATGTCCTTCAGCATCTGGTCTGCCGGCTGAAAGTTGGTCATCCGCACAGCTTCCAGCGAGCGCAGTGAAGCCATGTCGTCGAGGATGTTCCATAGCGGGTGCAACATGCGCGTATTGACCTGGCAACAAGACCATGCGAGTCGCAAGCAACTCAGCGACACTTCCAGGCCTTGTTGAGGGCGTGCATGAACGCCAGAGCAAACACAACCATGAGGCACACAACGACAAAGTGGTAAACCTTGGACATGCAATTTGGATGTCGCCTTGCAGCTCAGCACAGGTCCCTGAGGCTCTTGCAATGTCTGATTGCGCGTCTCCACGTACAGACACGTGCTTGTCCAGCAACGCAACGCTCGTGGGTGTGCCTGCCAAATAGCTTCCACCAGTCGAAACATCACCCTACGCAAATCGGTGTCAGTGCTGGGAGCGCAAGTGAAACGTACTCTGCGGATGGCTCAATCATCGTGGTGATCATGCATTCTTGAACCCATCACAGCCTGTGCAGTCCTCGTTGGGGAAGCAAACCTTGGCCGATCAACATGTCCACTGATTTCGGGCATGGCCCACTTAAGGCCAAAGACTGCGGCTGCCTTCAACCCAAACAGTTCACTTGAAATAAAAGGACCTGCGGGTTCAGTGAAAGAGCTTCAAGAGGTCAACCTGGTACACTATGGATTTGTGTTGAGGCTCGCGCTGTTGATCAGAAAAATCAGTTGTTGCTCACAAACGCCTCCTTCTTGACAAACCCCCGTCAGAAGCTCCAAACAAGGTTGAATCCCCCCCATTTTATCAGATAAAATAGGGCTAGTCCATCCTTATTGGAAAATAACATACAATCGTCCAACTTTGACAGAAAATAAATTGACAATCACGATTTATTTTGACCTGATTTGGGGGTTTGGCTTGAACAGTCCAAGTTGGACACAACGCATTTCATGTTGTTTTTGGATGAAAACACAAAGTCAAGGGGGTCCAACTCTTCCTGGGGAAGAAGCGGGTTGCCTCAGGATAATTTGAAAGGAGTTCAGTCCAACTTTGAAGGGTTTTGCAAAGAGGTCAAAATGGGTTTTAATCGAAAAAGCGGGTTGGACTAAAATAAATAGATGACTGTTTTTAGGATCCGACCCGCTTCAACTTTATGTTGAGCCTGCAGCGGGGGTTGACAACCAGCCATTGGTCTGCAGAATGATTCATTTACTGTTGAGATATCCTGGTTGCTGAGCATCTACGCGCAGCGAGTGGCTCTCAAAGCGGTGAAGGTCTTTCCGTCTTTCCTAGCATTGGGCCTGTGGTGGAAGCTCGATTCCCAACATGTTCTTCACTGACAGTTGGGTCAGGGTTACATTCTATCTGCAAATTTTACGACGACTCCAAAACCTTAAGAAATCAAGTAAAGGATCTTAAGCATGGTGAGCTCGTTTTGCTCCCAGGTGAGCTCGCCATAACTTGTGCAGATTCAACATGCGACACCTCGGAGCTAAGAGCCCCGCCAGCTGCAACTCGTGTGGCTGCAAGTCCTGCATCTCCATGGCTGCACGCGCTGCCTAGCGAGTGCCAACGCCGATGACTCGCAAGAGATCTTGGCTCGAGGCATGCCAATGATGACTCACAGTTGGTGGCTTGATATCTTATTCTAAACTTAAATTTGTGTGTTGATAAGGTTTAGAGTTTTGGGTTCAGGGTCCAACCCCTCTCGTGGGTCGGATAGAACTCTCAACTTTTGTGGTTGCCCTTTGGGGCGGCTCGCCGCCCCGAGCCAAACAAATGGCTCGCGGATGCAGTTCGTCCCAGGCCTCCAGCCACTGGTTCGAGGTGATGGTGTTGTTCCCCCAGACGCAGGACCCAGGCGTCCAATACCTCGCTTCCGGCGGGCTTCTGAGTGCTTTCTGTCTGCTTTAACGTGTGCTTCCACTGCTTTATGATAAAGGACCCCAAGTTTTAGGTCTTTCCATCTACCAGACCAACCCATGTTAAGGTTACCCTATGTTTGACCCACAGCCACAATGTTCATGCTTCTGGCATTTTGTTTGCCTGAACTGCCAGTCTGATTCTCAAGCGCTGCTTACGTTTGGACGTGCAAGATTCGGATCAACATTTGGCCCATCCACGCTTAAGCAGTCCTTAAACCCATAATTTTGAGAAATCACAAAGGGAAGCCACTAGGGGATGGATTTTGTCCTTGGTCCTGCTTCAGGTAATGATCCCTAAGCAAAATGCGCATCTGCGATATTGACGAGCAGCTTAATACAAGTTGCAGGCCCCCCACCCCACCCCACCCCACCCCACCCCACCCCACCCCACCCCACCCCACCCCACCCCACCCCACCCCACCCCACCCCACCCCACCCCACCCCACCCGGCACCCAATCCGAGGCGCAGGTGGCGGATGCCCGCCAGCAGCACTCGGTGGGGCGAGGTGTTGGCAAAGTCCAGGGCCGCCGAGCACAGCAACTCCGAGGGCCTCGGCCGGCGCAGCGGCGCAACACAACGACTACACCACCGACCCCCCCCTTCCCCCAAAAAACACCGCTCCCCCCCGTCCAAAAAAAACAAAAGGAACAAGTGTTCCATGTTGTTTTGGACAAAATGAAATGGCAGACTTGTTCCATGTTGTTTGTGTTTCTGTGTGTGCTTTCCCATAGGTGTTCCTGAATGCGCCTAAGAAGAGTGCATTTTACAGAAAAGCGCCACGCACAGTTTCCCGTCTTGAGCAATCTGAGTTCAGCTTCTCCTTCATTGCTGGTTTGGAGCCGAATTGGTGGTTTGGTTTCTTCCCATTACCCTCAAAAAAAAAAAAAAAAAAAAAAACGGTTCAACTCCCCGAACCAAGTCTCACACCACCATTTAAGGGGTAGCTGATCACTTTTTGAGTGCATGGGCCAAAACCGAACCAAACGTTGAACCAATAACGCAGTTGCCGAGTCCCGGTAAGATCAAAGAGCCACAAAGACTGGCTGAAGGTGAAATCGCTGGAAACAAGAAGCGACCCGCCGACCAAGTGGAAAACAAGGCACATGCCCAGTTTGCCACTAAAATGGTCTACCCTCAAGTCCAGCTGGGGTGCTGGATTGGAGCAAATGCCGGGGACCTCGATGTTGGGGTTTACTGTTCAAACCAATCAAAAAGGAGGAAATGACACACCAAGCTGGGAGTTTCTTGGAATAGACCTCCCCCTTTTCACTAGAAAGGGGAAACCAAATACAGCCAAACCATAGGTTTCAAACTATTTGTGCTCACAGCGTCCAAAACTCGAGCTGACTTACCAAAACGATATTACAACGAATTACCTGGGTATGTGCCGAAATAGGGGGAACCCACACACACATCAAAAAAACAAGAGCTATTACTATAACTCTAACGGACCGCCAGGCAAGGCATACAGGCAAGGCCTCGAAAAGAGAACCACCGTCAAAACTCCTGATCGTCATGGCTGTTTCCTAAACCAAAAACCCCAAGCGGGTCGGCCACGAAAAAAGTTCTTGCCAAAATTTCCCTGGTTCCCCTCCCAAATGGGATCAGAGACATCGGGCAATTGGACAAAGCTTGTGCAGAATTCATGGCGGCGGGGTCAAACAAATGATCCTGATTCTTTCTCGGACAAATTGCAGTACTCTGGGATCACATCCGTTCCCAAATCAATTGCTCCTTGTCATTGCTCATAATTTGGCTTTGTCTCGACATTAGTATGCCCTCAATTCCCCAGATAGCTGAAAGCTATAGGGTTCTAGCTTCTAATAAAGAAGGGAAAGTGATTTGCAAGATTGACAGCTGGGTGCTAGGGGCGTGCAGTTGGGGTGCTGGTGCAAATGCTGGAGTGTTGCTTGGGAGCTGTTTGTGGTACGTTGCGGCGCATTTTGACGGCAGGGTGCTAGCGCATGCAGTTTGGGTGCTGGTGCTGGTGCTGTTTTGGGGTGCTGTTTGGGGTGTTGATAAATCTGAGGTGCTGGCGAGATTGATGGCAGGGTGCAAGGGGTCATGCAACTTGGGGTGCCGGTGTAGGTGCTTTTTGGGCAGCTAGTTCGCGCGCATTTCTTGCGAGCTTGACAGCCGTTAGCTCTTCGGGGGGTGCTGTCTGCTTGCACTCATCCGCCTATCTTTGCTATCTGAAATCTATGCTTGCGTAACTTCTTCCTGTTTCGTTTTCCCTCAACAACCATCCAAACGGGGGTCGCCTCTCCCCCCCCAAAAAAAACAAAAACGCCCCTCCCCCCCCAACAAAAAAAAAGAACAACACACCCAAACCTCTTTGGGAACCCCTTCTCGGTCCCCGTCCCAGCTGCCCCTGTGAGACCACGGATGCGCTCGAACCGGCCAGGCCGTCCAAGTGCGCCAGGTGCTGATAGTCCCCATGGTCCTCCATGTTTTTTTGGGGGTTCAAAGGGAAGCCAAAAGGACATTTACCAGTTTTGGGGGGGTTTTTCATTTGGGGCTGTCTGTTGTTGAAGTTTCGAGGTGCCTGTTTTTGGTTGGGTTTACGGTGGTAAAAAAAGAATCTTGAGTTTGGAGCACCCAAAAGAGCGCCCAGGATCATCAAAAACCGCATCAAATCAGTGCAGAACCTGCTAACATGTGCTCTGCTCATGTGAGTGGTAGCTGGTGAGGACGCCCGCTGAAGGATGCGTTGCGTCCTCCAGCGAGGCATCAAGCAAAATGACGATGCCCATGACGCCCAAGACGATGAGGCACACTTTCACCACCACTGGCCCACTGACCTCAGCTTGAAGCCGCATCGCTGGCTGGTTTGGGGGTGGGTGGGTGTCCATGTACCCACTAGAACTAGGGGTTCAAATCCGCCACCACCCATCCAAACCACCAACGGGCAACCTGAATTGCAGCTCCAGTGACCATGCATACAAAACTGGGCTCCCCTCGGCAACGTCGAGCCGCCCGAAGACAGTTCTGGCAACACCGCCCTGGATATCACCCCTGACTTGAAGAGCTTGCTTTGGACAAATGGTATCTCCACACACATGCCTTTGACGTATGATCCAAGCCCCCTCATGACCTGACCAAAGAGTGTTTGTTTGAGGAAGACGGGGGGAGGGCGGTTGGAAGCCTATGACTACAATCCTAGCAAGGCACTTAACCTCCCGCCCTTGCACGTCACAAGTTCACTGCACCCCGCCTTCTGCACCAAGGAGAAGGAAGCCTTTACTCGCGACACATCCTCTTGGCACTTCTGCAGCGCCCGCTTGCCCTCTGGCCTGGCTTCTTCCAACGTGTGTGGCTAAGCCATGTCATATTCCCTCCCACCAGCTAATATGGAAGTGCACAAACCCCTGTAGAAAGACTACTTTCCTCTTGGAAAGGGCCTTTTTGAACTTCCATGTTAGTTGGGAGGGTTCCCCCAGCGCAATCCACATGGAGCTTGCCACATCGCCCGCCTCACGCGGAACTCGTCAATGACGGAGGCGAAGGTTCCGTCGCAGTTCGTCTTGGGGTGCAGGTCCCATATGGCAGCAACGGCGCCGAGCTGGTTCCTCGAGAAGTGGCAGTCGAGTTCTCCAAGGGGAAGTGCCACTTGGCTGTGGGTCAAAAGCCCGAAAATTCCCCCAGTGAACATCCCAATCCAACCACTGAAATAGGTTCCAAAATGGGTGGTGAGTTCACCCAATCCAACCAAAATGGGATCCCAAAACGGTTTTGACCACCACAGCCACTTGAATTGTCCAACCCAGAGGCTCCAATTCGATTGACTTAGGCTAGACTCAGGGCCTTCCAACCACCTGGTTTTGAGACCCCCAACCACCTCCTGGGAAGCGGGATGACCATTTGGGTGTGCCCCGGTGAACAACCCAATCCCCACTGAAATAGGTTCTAAAAGGGGTGGGTGCATCTACCAACCAAAATGGCACCACTGGTTTTGACCCACAGCCATTTGGGAGTGGGTTTTCGAGGAGCTACTAAAATCGTGTTTCTTTGCTTTTGCTGCCAAACAAAAAAACAAGCACAAAGGGTACCAACTCCACAAAAAGGATCCAACCCCATTTCCGACAGCTTTTTCAAGGTGTCAGGCAATCACGGTTTTACCGTTCGCTTGATGAACTCATGGTTTCCTGACACCTTGAAAACGCTTCCCACAATTTGTGTGGGTCACCTAAAAAAAAAACGACACACTCAAATGAGCATTCCAAGAAAGTCTGCTCCTGCATGGCCTGTCAGCGGCTGCCCCGCAAATCGGAACACGCATGACGACAGCACCCTTGGATCCAAGCAAGCGGCAGTCGTTGAAACGCCCCGGGCTTGATGCTCATCATAGTCCCGTACCTTGGCGCAAGGGAAAGTTGGCCTTGCCGTCAACTTGCCCAGAAACCGGGCTCCCGATATTTCCCATTAACACGTCACCCCCACCAAGCGATACCCACCTTTCATGGTTTGAACTGCCAAAAAGGGCAAGATGGGGATCATTGAGAAACCTTGAGGGCTCCATTTCAATTGGAGTCGTCCTTGATCATCCCCTCCCAGACAGGGATCCTTACATTATACACCTGAACATTGCCTTGCAAATGGTGGTTTTCCCTTTATTTTGGTGGAAAAAGCCATGTTCCAAATGGGCAACATGTATCTTTTAAGGAGCCATGCCAAGTGGAGTCACATTCCGAAGGAATCACTCCGGACAAGTGCAGTCCAAGGAACTGTCGGTTGGCAAAGCTGGCTGGCTCTTGCGGCTTCCGGCCAAATTTCAAGCGTGAACGTGAAGGAGCCACCTAGCACGTGAGTCATTGCGACGGAGGCTTGCAACCCATGGACAAGATGGCGCTGGAGAGATGAACTGGCCACACATCGAACACAAAAACTGGGAGAAACTGGATACGGCAAACACCGACCTACAGTATGGGGGTCTGGTTTCATGCTCGTTGCGCTGACGTCTGTCACAAATCTGTGCGTATCTCCCACTGGCGAAGGTGGGAGGAACTAATCCAGCCAGGCGTCCCTCTTTTCAGGAAACTCCAGGCGCATGGCCTGGGAGAGCGATAGCTGCTTGGCTTGGCAAAGCGCCCGTCCCCAGTTCCAAGGAGAAGGGATCTCCCAAAGAGCGGAAAGGATCTGTGCAGAGACCGCCCAAGACATCGCATCCAAACCATTCCCGAACGTTGTGCGGCACAAACACAGGCCCAGCCTGAAGTGAGATAAAACATTCCTAGATAGCCAAGGTGCTGCTTTTTTCAGCTACTGTTGCTGGTTTTTGGGGAAAAGTGCATGGAAAAAAAGCGATCGCAACTGGATCGATCCAGGTTGATTCTTCTTCGCACCACTTTGCCGCCTCCAGGGCTCCACTTTTCCCCTGGATGGACTTCAGCCCAGATCCGGGGTGTCTAATGGAGGGGTCTTCCATTGAAAGCCCCAGGAGCCTCTGGGTGGGGAATGCACCACCCCTGGGTCTAAGCCAGCCCTGTAGTGAAAAAGTGGAGCCCTGGCCACCTCAAGCTCCAAGCTCAGCCTACCGTTAACGGTCATAGGTGGCCTCTTGGAAAAATAGATGGGTTTCGCTGGTAAATGGGGCATAACCCCCATCTAAAGGACACCTATTTTGTTTTAAGCAACCAAACCAACTTTTGTGTAAGCAAACCAACCAAAAAGGATACGATACGGCCCTGTGTTTTTTAAGCAAACCCACCAAAAAGCTCAGCCTACCGCTACCGTTGCTAAGCCCCCAACCATCACGAAGAAGTCCAGCTGCTCGGGGGGCAGCTTCCCGGTCTTCTTCTGAAGCACAGCGCCGACTTGGGTGCTGTAGATCCCCAGCAAAATGTTAAACTTTTTTCTGGTTAAAAGGAAATATGAGGGGAATCCAAAAAGTTAAAGTCTAAAGATCCAACCCAATAGCAGTAGAGCCAAAAGCAAAGCAACGCGAGTGGGGAAAGGCCGAGGTCAAAGGGCAGGATAAGGCTTTTAGCAAAAGAAGAGGTTTGTGGCACAGAAAGGTTGACCACATATCAAATCAACCCCAGTTTATTATTGGGGGGGTGCCCCTGGGTTTAGTGGGGAATCATCAGTTTTGGAGGGAAGCAACCCCTATTCGTAAACTGGGGTTGATTAATATGGGGTCAACACTACAGGTTTGTCTCACAGGCGGTGGACCCCAAAATGCGGTGATGTCCCTTTGCTTCCCTGAAACGGCCCCGAAAAGGGCTCCAGCGCCAAAAAAAGGCTACTTGCACCTCGTCCAGGTCCTGGAACACGCGCCACAACCTGCAATGTGGCTGGGTGGGTGGAACCCCTCACGTCGGCTTCCCTTGAAGTCAGGGTGTTTGGAGCTGGTACCCGTTGTTAGGTTGGTTTAAGTTGGGGTTGTGCCCAATTGTTTGGTTCACATACCCACCTTTATTCAGGAGCACAAGGCGCAAAGTGCCACTTCTGCCACAAGGCCGTCTCTGTGAAAACACCACATTACCGGTCAAGGGGAAACGACTTGTCCACGCGCGTTCACATTGGACAGCAACAAGCTTGGCTCTTAAGAGTGTGAGGTCCCCATGTGCATCAATAGCTCACCGCTACTGGGTCCGCGCAATGCTTCCAACTTCCTTCCTTCTCCACCCAAGAATGACAGCCATTGCAAGAAACAAACAGGGCCAAATGGTAACTAATGATTAATGTCAGCTTCCCTCCAATTAGTTGGTGGTTTGGATTTGGTGGTTCAGGAATTAGGGGGTGGTTTCCCATTTACCCCCTAAACCCCCAAAACACACACACACACACACAAAGGGGGGCACCTGGCAATGGGCTGCAACGGCTCCCTTGTTATGGCTCTCAACTCTAAGCCATCGACTTTCGCCGGTTCAGCCCTGCCTCTTGTGGTAAAGCTGTTGCGCCAGGCCATGATGTGGACGCAAGAAATTCCGCCACACAATGCCGTGAAGCGTGCGCAGCAGCCTTCGAAGAGCACGCCCGCAGACTCTCAAAATATCTCAGCTGCTTGTTTGTTTGCTTCTTTGTTGTTTTTTTGCTTGCTGGCTTCTTTTATTGTTTGCTTGCTTGCTTGCTTGCTTGCTTGTTTGTCCCTTTCTTTGTTTTTGTTTTCTTCCCGTTTTGCCGGCCGGCCCCCCCCCAATATCGCCCAAATGCACCCAAATTCACAGCCACAGGGCTGCACGATGCGGAAGAGCCGGGCGAACTTCAGGATCTCCAAGATCCGCGAGGAGCGGCCCGTGATGCGCGAGTCCGCCACCGAGGCCTCGGCGGAGGGGTAGAGCTGGGCCTGCAGCAGGGTGTCTCCCGTCAGGCTGACCTCGGCTCTTCAAATGGCTCGGGGTGGCCAAGTCGATGTTCCATCATTTGGGAAGCCACTGCAAAGGGGACCGGTTAATACCAATGACACTCCACCATGAGAGCGGATGATGGTTTTGAGTTGGTGTTAAAGGGAAAACCAGAACTTGGTGGCTTGCTGCTCCCCAACTTGGTGGCTTGCTGCTCCCCTGCGAAAAGTGACTATCTTTTAATGGGGAAGAAAAAAAAACATTGGTTGGCAAAAAGTTATTCACTAAAGTTTAACTTTTAGTGGTTTAATGGTTTACTGGTTTAATGACTTACTGGTTTAATGGTTTACTGGCTTCTTCGTTGGAGAAAAGTTATTCAGTCCTGACCTCCAAGCAAACTGCACCGAAGCGACCATGGCCATGATGTCCAGGAACACCCGGCCCGAGCGCATGTAGCCGTTGATGAAGACGCAGCTCAGGAAGGTCTCCACGAGGAAGAAGGCCAGCACGATGGTGTTCACCAAGGCCACTGAGTAGGTGTACTCCGTGCTCAGCCCGAAGAGCAGTAAGACATTCGGAGCGAAAAGGGTATAGATGGTGAGAACCGCAAAAGTGATGGCGAAAATGTCGGAATGCACGGCTTTATTCAGCATCACCAGGCATTGCCAACCACGATATTTCTGTCCTTGGCTCTGGCTTTCTTGGCTAGGCATGTCAATGTGAGTAACCGGACGCTTTGAATTAAACCAAAGGAAATGGGCCCCCCCCATGTCCTCCCAAATTAAACCATAGGCTACACTCCCACCCTTCTTACCTAGAACCTGACAGGGACCCTTTAAAAGGTGAATGGTCTTCCAGCACCCCCCTGTCGGGTTCCACGTTGATTGGTGGGAGGGCAATGACCACCGATACCGTCAGCCGCTCCCGTGCTAGAGCCAATGCTTGGTGCACCAGGCGTCGGCGGTTGCTGGTGAAGCTTGGCACCTGGCCGCGTTGCGCAGCGAGAGGCAACACGCAAAAAACGCCTGTGCAAAAATTGGTAGGTCGGTCGACCACTGGGCTCTTCAAGATGCGTGGGAAGCTTAATGAGGGGCCCTCTGGTGGACATCATTTGTGTGCCACCACCCATTTGGGAGGGGTCCCCCATTGAAATTCACAGCCAAATGAGAAAGTGGCCAAGCCCCAAAAGAAGCCACGACAAAGGGGACCAAATCCTTGCGTAACCCAAGGCAAAGATGAAGGATTTCGTTTGAACAGGCCAGTACTTTCCAGGATATCGCCATCCCTTGTCCCATCAGATTCACTTTGCAACCAATGCACGGCCTGTGCTGGCAATACGGTAATACGGCCATCCGCCAACAACTCGCCTTGCCCCCTTGCCATCGAAAGCATCCGCGCCTGGCTGTTCTTCATCATGGGGTCCTCTGTGTCAAAGGCCTGGAAGAGGCAGCGCATCAGCTTCCGCAAGTCTTTCAGCCGCTGCCTCGGCGGATCGCGCGTGCCCCGTGCAGGAAGCGGTCGAGAGAACGCGGGGTTTGGAGGCGCTGGAAAATTGCCTAAATTGGCCTCGCGCAGACAAGCGCGAACAAGCTGAAAAAGTCAGGCCGACGCAAGGGCGTCCGGGCAACGCGGCAACCCTTGCGCATTGGATGAAATTAAACACTCGCTGAATGTACAGCGAGACCAAACCTCAAGGGTGATCCACTGAGCCCGAACTACCACAAAAAGGTGGGCTTCCTCTTGGAAAAACCACACAAAGAGAGGTGCCCTCCAAAAAAAGTGGCGCCACACGCCATTGCATCCCAGCGCGCCTAGCGCTTTCCGCCGAGGGGCTGGTTGACTTGCTCGCCCCAATCCTCAAGCGCACGCTCGAAGCAAAGCTTTGATCTGGGCTGGAATTAGGACCCCAGCAACAAATTATCTTTTTTGCCTGGTCAGTGGAAACAAAGGGACCCCAAAAAAGAAAAGAAAACAAAAAAGGGAGCTAATTCTGGGGAAGTGCTATGCTTTGTGTCTTGATGGGACTTCTCCAAATCTGCCAACGTCCCAGCATGTCCCTCGTACAGTCCTAGATTGATTTACCACAACGATTGCATGTGATTACACAGCTCAGTTCTCGCGGGTAATGGCCCCAACACAACATGGAACTATTGCACAGGCTGTCCCCTCGCAGACTTGAAATTTGCTGCCTGCGTATGCACGAGTACTGCTAAAATGCGCGATTCTTCGATGAGGTCGGACATTTGCGCTTGGCTTTGCATTTGTGCACATCCACCTCGACGATGAAACCATGCAAGCAGCGCGGCGCAAGGAGTGCCAAGCAAGCTGCCTACAACCCAACCTGTGCAAGCAGTCCGGTGCACCCGGCGCTAGGCACAGTTGTGCTGAGCAATGAACCGCAAGAGGTGTTGCGAGTGCCACAGAAGCGTCTTGCCACGCCAATGGCATGCAAGCTGGCTGCTTCTTGTTTGCAAAGAATGTCCACTGCGTTGCCTCCGGCCTCCCCCCCTCCGCGCAATGGCCTTCATGACCCCAAGGACCCCAAGGTGCCTACAGATGGGCGGTGCCTTCAAGCGTCCAAGGTGTCCGTCTCCGCATCTCCCGTCTTCACCATGTTCATCTCCTCAGTTGCCCAGTTGGGACCCCACGAATCAAAGGTGAGATCATCTTTCGGGGCCATGACGAATTGATAAAAATACACAGGTTCCTCCGTTTCCCTGTTGGGTTGCAAAAGTGGCGATCGTTTCAATGAAAACCACCAGAGTATGATCAACCTTTGACTCGGGGACGGAAAACCAAAACGCAGTTGCGCCTTAGGGGCCCAGGACCAAAAACTAGACCTTTTGGAACCTTGACTCAACATGGACCACATCCGGGGAAACCAGATCGGTCAACCTTTGACTCGGGGGAATCCAGCGACCCCCGCAACAAGAAAACCAAAGGGCCCAGAATTACCAGGTGAACCCTTTGGAACCCTTGGCTCAAAACATGGCCCAAACCACCAGGAGAACTTTTTTCGAGCCTTGACTAAGAGCACCGCATCCGGACACCAAACCGCCCTCATGTCTCGTCCGAGGTGCCGTGGGCGCCTCGGAGACCACGCGGACCTTCACGGTGTCCGCCAGCGCGTTGGCGCACTCGTTGTTGATCAGATCCTGGGCACCCAGCCTTGGTGCCGTGCAGGCTGGGGGGAAAAACCAAATGGCAAGGTGGGAACCCACAGAAGAGAAGCCAAACAAGGGACAATTTGGGTGATCCCATTTCACTGACTGGTACCCCGCCCCCACCCCCCAAAAAAAAGGCAAACAAAAGCAGAACATCCTCACACGAGCCTTTTGGATTGGTCACTGGTGACCGGCAATTCACTGGCAACCACAAAGCAAATTGCACGGAAGGTCACGCTCGTGCCAGCTGGCCACGCTTTTGCCATGTGATCCCACCTCACATCTTGCCAAATTATATCTTGGTTGCTGCTGATCCCCCTGCAAAGAGTGTAACTTTTGGTGGGCTTAGTCGAAATCTAAAGATCAAGATATGCTCAAGAAGCCAGTCTGTGGCCCGCATGTCCTGCAGACATCGAGACCATGCTGGCCAGTGCCAAGATGCTGGAAGGACGCGATGCTCGGAGAGATGCTGAGGGAGTCGGTGGAAACGCAATTCCTCGGAGAGCAACTTGGGCGAGGCTCGGAAAAGGGGCCAAAAAAAGGAAGCTTCCCAAGTGAAGAATCCAAGAATCCAAGAATCCAAGAGAAGAATCGGGAGACCAACAAGGGTTGCCAAATCGAAGTCAGAGAATTGGCCAAGTTGACCTACTTGGAGAACCCCCCGCCACGGCTATGTGCCATGTAAAGCTCAAAGCTTCCGAAGCCATCTCCGACGCCTGTGTCAGGGGACTATATACCCCACCCTCTATCCAATCATGGAAGTTGACGTTTGGAGCTTGGGATTTGCCCCTCGGGTCTGGTTTGGAAGATAAACCACACAGAAAAACAAAAAAGCCCGAAAATAATTCAAAAGGAACCCAGCCAGTTTAGTGGTTCCCACCAATTCCGGAACCCACTTGGGTGTGTCTTAAAATAGGGGGATCCGATGATTTGGTTTGGTTTCCTTATGGGTTCCCTTCAACTAACCCCTCCAAAGGCTACCCTCCAAAAAAAGAGGAGCCACCTGTCCGCTGCCATGGCCTTTTGTGGGAGTCTCAAAAAAAAAGACAACTCCAGACCCAGATGTCTCCTTTTGGAACCTCTCAAAGCGGCCATCGTTTCCCATGGAAACCAGTAGGTGGCCCTGCTGGCTGAAAAAAATCCGAACATCGGGGGATGCGTTTTTTGTTGTTTGTTTTAAGTGCTTTGTTCCGTTTGGCTTCCCTTTCAACTACCCCCAAGAAGGCTAGCCCCAGCAAGCACACGACAGACCCAGTGCGTGCTTTAAAATGGGGGGATCCGAGCATTTTGCGGTTTCCTCTTGGTTTCCCTTTCAACGACCGCCCAATAAAGGCCGTATCCAGAAAAAGACGACCGGCCCGGGTCCGTTGAGCCGATTTTTCTTCTTTTTCTTGGAGGCTCTGCAGCAGGGTCCGGCGGTAGGCGCGGCCCTGGAGCAGCGGATGCGTCTCCAGCGCCCGGCGGCAGTGCCGCAGCCACCAGGCCCGAGCCTACAGGCCGACACTGGGAGCGCAGATTTGGCTGTGGCTCAAAAAACCGGAGAATTCCAACGTGGCTTGCCCGATCGGCAAGTGGAAACTAAGGCCGTCTTGCGGTTTGCCCCTCCTGCTTCATTTTGAGCCACACCCAAATGAGTGAGGGGTTTCCATCCTTTTGGGTCCGAAAAGGACACATTTTGGAGCTCAAATGAGTGAGTCAACCCGAAAAACAATATTGGGGCATGGTAGGCTATTCTATTCGAGGAGATTAGGGGATATTGGGGGGACCCCTCCAGTAGAGAGGCCAAAATAAGGGTACCAACTTGTTTCTGTTATTTTGGTAGGTGAACCCTTTTGGGTCAGAAAATGAGAAACATGTGGATGGACGAAATCCCTTCGCACCAATTTTCCCGAAGAAACCGTGGGTCGAAGGCAAGCCAGGTCTCCCTATAGTGCCCCGTTGTGGCTTTCACCCCCCCTTGCTTGTGGTATGCTCCTTCTCGTACTGTGGATGGACGACATCCCTTCGCACCACTTGGAAACCATGGGCAGCCATCGTTTGCTGCCATTTACAGGAAATCATCATTCCAATCCTTCCAGGTTTCTTAGGTGGCGCAGGATTTCGTCCATCCACAGTAGGTCCTCTAGAAATAAGGGTACCCATTTTTGTTTGTCGTCTATTTTGGTAGGGGAACCCTCCCCCAACAAAGGGTACAAGGGCACTTTTAGTGGGTTAAAGTAGATCCCCTGCTAACTTCTAGTGGGTTAAATTCGGAAACCACCACTAAACACTAAAGGGCTACAAAGCTAAGTAACGCACTTTGAGTGATTAACCCCCCCGTGTTGGGTCAGAAAATGAGAAACATTTTGGAGCTCAAAGCAGTAAACCCCCCATCCTTGTCAGAAAAATGAAAAACATCAAAAGATAGCTCTTTGGATATCAGGGGATATTATGGCTCAAATGGGTAAACCTCTATCTTGTTTTTAGTCAGAAAATAGGAACAAATGGGGAATGGTAAGGCTATTCGTGGATATTCGGAGATGTTAGGGTGATATTAGGGGGCCCCCATCTTCTTGGTCAGAAAAATCGGGGATCTCTCTTGGGGGATGCTACTCTGGATAGGGGATATGATTGGATAT